TCTTCCGGATGTATATTACCCTCATATTTAAAGGAAATGAATTAAATCTAATTTGAACTTATTGTGGCTATTTGTATTCACAGGGTTAAATCACAAGATTTCAAATTATTTAAGAGAAATAAGAGTGTTAAGACATTTGTACTGATGGAAATAGTTGCTAAACTTTGACTCTGGGTTTAGAATGTTGACTATATATGTACTCTTTAAAAATATTGAGACATATTCGCATACAAAATGGTTTCAAATCTATTTTTAAAAAATACTGTAGTTTGATAGTATTTTAGCCACATGTATTAGAAAATAATAATAGATCATCATGCATTCTTCAGCCGATCATATCGTTTATGACTAGCAGTCTGTTTTTATTGATAGTACGCTTATAGGCAGTAGAGTATCACGATGTAATAAATGAGGTAATAAATGGGTTATTATTTGTGTAAATTCACCATGGACTCTTCCATAACGCCACACGGAAAGTTTCGTAGAACATTATGCTTGTCGAGTATCCTCAGCAGGGCAATTAGAACTAATACATTCATGGATTCCTTTCTTTCATTCAGAAATCTGATGAAATAATCCAAATAATTTTATAAATAAATCAAAATATCTCAATAATTATTTTACGATAATAATGGTTGAGCATGTTTTCTATCATTTCCATGTAACCCGATAGGATGCATGATGAAGCCTATCGAAGGAACTACTAGTAAATTAAAGAATTAGATTACCCTTCCAGCAGAAAAAAAAATTGATAAGGGAGAAGAATAAGGGGTTAAAGCTGTCACTAATTAGCAGGTATTCCAACGCCTCCTAATGAGTTTCCTCCTCATTAAGAAGGTGGCAACACAGAACTATTTGATATAACCCAGATGACATTATGTCCCTAATGAAAAACTAGATGCAATGGAAAGGATGAGAATACTTTTAGATTATCAAAATAGACTTGAAAATTTAGACACTTATAAGACGATGTATGAGATGAAATCATTCAGATTTAAAGATTGACAACTATTAGTATAAACTGAACAAAATGTCCATGAAAATCATTTGATGTGGGTCTTAAAAGAAGAACATCATTCCGAAAACGTAATCCAACCACTGAAAAAAAGAATATTTAATGTAAAAAAAAAAGTTCAATCTGATACAAAGGATTATGAATCTCATATTGTTTTACAACAAAAATCTCAAGTTCTCAGATTGAAAGCGAACGGTGTGTGGAACAGTCTTAGTTTGTGAAACAAGGTCAGTTAGCCATGTCTTAGTTTGTGAAACAAGCTCAGTTAACGATGTCTTAGTTTGTGAAGCAAGCTCAATCAGCCATGTCTTAGTTTGCGAATCAAGCTCAGTTAGCCATGTCTTAGTTTGTGAAGCAAGCTCAGTCAGCCATGTCTTAGTTTGTGAAGCAAGCCAAGTTAGCCATGTCTTACTTTGTGAAACAAGCTCAATCAGCCATGTCTTACTTTTTGAAGCAAGCTCAATCAGCCATGTCAAAGTTTATGAAGCAAGCTCAATCAGCCATGTCAAAGTTTGTGAAGCAAGTTCAGTCAACCATGTCTTAGTTTGTGAAACAAGTTCAATCAGCCATGTCTTAGTTTGTGAAGCAAGCTCAATCAGCCATGTCTTAGCTTCTGAAGCAAGCTCAGTCAACCATGTCTTAGTTTGTGAAGCAAGCTCAATCAGCCATGTCAAAGTTTGTGAAGCAAACTCAGTCAACCATGTCTAAGTTTGTGAAGCAAGACTCACTCAGCCATGTCAAAGTTTGTGAAGCAAGCTTAACCAGACATGTCGCGATTGTAATCTGTTTCTGAATTACAATACATGGGATCACCACAACATTTTAACCTCATAACTAAACTACAAACGTACGACACAAAGAGGCAGCAATTAAACATCATGGCTGAACAACAAAATAACTACCAAGTCAAGGAGAGTGACTGAAACTTCTTGAGTTTTTCATATAAACATGAGAGCTCTATGTATGGTTAATGTAGAATATTATATCCTACGTTCGTTTTCTTCTTGTATTTACAAGTTATACTATTTCAGGTAGAATATATGTTTTATCAGGTGCATGAATATGTTTCCAACCGACCGTAAATTTGTTATACTAAACGTGCGTTAGTGATCTTGGACCGGAGTAGTTGCTTAAAAGACACTTACATTACTGTGATTTAAATCCAAAACTTTAAATGTTCTAAGTCCATAAGCATATATTGCTCTAAATAGATTCAATGGCCTTGAAGGTCCTAATGTGCCAATAATCTTTAATGCTTTGATGAAATTCAGAATGTCTTGAATTCATAATAATCGACAGTATTATATTTGTCCAAAGTTAATGAACACTTAGTAATTTCAGTGAACAATTGAAAAAAAAAACAATAAATAATTCCTCTAAAATTTTGTCTGAATACAAGTATTAATTATTCTAAGCTGATCTTAAAACAGAAAGGAATACTTCTTAACCAGTTATATATATATATATATATATATATATATATATATATATATATATATATATATATATATATATATATATATATATATATATATATATATATATATAATTTGACGTACATCGCAATATAATTTTCTGCAAAAAAAAAATAATCATTCCATAGAAAATTCCACTAACTATTGAACTCAAATTTATGGTAAACAGTTTATAGCCGATACAAAAGTCAGGTGTGCAAAAACTCAGCCGCATCGCATCCATACCAAAACGTAGAGAACCTCATAAGCGTGTGAATTTCAACTGGAAAGATGAATTTTCAGCGATTTCCTTGATTTCATTTGAAATATTCATAATAATGAAATTTTAATATTATTATAAGTGACGTACTAAAAAGACTTTATTGAATAGAAACATCAAATAGTATTTTGTCTTAAGCTTATTAGGAATTACTTATTATTATGTTTTATATTATGTGGTGTAGTGATGTTATGTATAGCATGATAATGTGATATTACTCGTACATACTGTGAAAAATTGTTATAGATTTGTTATGTATATTTATTAGAATAAATAACGTAATAGCCGCATAAACAGTCTGTTCATGTACTCACCTTTACCGTACATACCGACTTAAGATTCTAATATATGCCTTGCGATTTGATATTCGAGCAATGCAGAAGAACTTGGGCCATATAATCTAATGCACGTACGTTCGAACAGACAGTAACCTTTTTATACACCTTTCGCGTAGCCACTATTTGGATGTACCAACCTCCACCGATATTAGAAACGAAAAGCATCAATGATATACAATGCATGAAATGTAGTAATAAACCTGAAAATCATCCGTCCCTTCTACCTAGTATGTTTAACCTGAGATATTTCGTGCAAAAGTCGTAAATGCTTTTGGTCACACGAGTCTAACAAGACATTTCGTGCAATAATTGTAAACAGCTTTGATCACACTGTCTTTGCATCTTGGAATGCAAAATAGTAATTATTAATCAATTATTACTTTATACTTAATTTATAAGTTACTGACTGAATTGTACATATTGATTCCGGTGTCAGCTATAATTGCCAATGTTTCTGTACAGGGTGTAGTTATTGAAGTTAACATTACATGTAACGTCCTTTTTCTCAGCTGTCTAGCATTTTTCTTCCAGTTCAGATTAAAAAAATGTAACTTCATCTGCAAATTTTCCTGTTATCACAAGGATACAAATTAATTTAATATTTTTCTTTTTTGCATAGCTTTTATTCTCTTTTGTATTTTGTGGGGCATTTAATTTATTTTGGCTTTTGTTTAGCAATTATGGTGGGCTTTTATGTCACAAAATCGAACAATATATATATATATATATATATATATATATATATATATATATATATATATATATATATATATATATATATATATATGTTTGTGTGTGTGATGTGTGTGTGTGTGTGTGTGTGTGTGTGTGTGTGTGTGTCATGAACAGATGCATAAGAACAGGCAAATGTTACTAATTCTGTCAAATACAAATTGGAGTTATGCATATTTAATTTGCATTGTTTTTAGTCAGTTTTGTTTTTCATTTAGATTTGTAATTCATTATATGCTATGGACAATTATATGTTGGTCTTGACCTCGTCCAAAATCAAGTTCATTTTCTACTTGACCTATATCATTGATCTTTTGATCTTTTATTTAACCGATTAGCAAATATCTATATAGTTTTTCTATGAGTATGGGTTAACTATTAGAATTATTGTTTTTTCCTGAGTCAAGTACATTGTGTTTACAATATTTTATATTTAGTTATAACAAAGACTTTATTTTGTAAACATTAGCAACCTGCTAGAGGGTTGTTTTCTTTTAGAAGATGTTTGTTTTGGAAATGCTAATTGTGACCTGAAAAGATGGTAGAGGAATGTATGATCTTGTTCTCTGTTCAGACTGTAAGATCTGATCAGAGTCAATTTTATTAATGTTGTGTCTAGTAGTTTGTTTGGGCTGGAATCTATTCGAGTCAAATTATTAGTTTCTGGAAATACAATGTGCTCATCAAAAATAACATTCTGCGAAATACAGAATTTAATTTAAAGTGAAATTTCAAATAATGATATATGCTTTGGATTCTATTATTGTAACGAAACAAAAATATGTTTTCTCATCCACTAAACGCGACATTACAGGCACATCAAAATCTCCAGCTTTGGAGTTAATTAGGATTTCCACTAAAGTGTATTCAGAACTTTAAGTATTAGAACTTGTGTCTGTACTTATATGATCACATTGGATTTTTTACATTTTGACTTTGCATTTTTTTTAGAAATGTGTGTTTATGATTTTAATGTAGCTTTTTTCAGTCATATTACTACGATGTCTGCAGTGTGGCAGTTGATACTGTCTAGCACTGGGGCATCATGCCGCAGACATGTAGCATGATGTCCCACCCAGTCACATTATCCTGATACCAGGCCGACCAGTCCTAACACTAACCTCTTAATGCTGAGCGTCAAGTGAGGTAGCTGTTAGTACCATTTTTGTAAGTCTTTGGTATGAATCGACCGGGGATCGAACCCACAACCTCCCGCATCCGAGGCGGACGCTCCAACCACTATGCCGCCGGAGCGGTTATTTTGTATTTTTTTTATTTTTTAGAAATAAAATGCTTGCTGAATTTTTTTAAAATGCTTCTTGCTTTTCACTCTTTTTTTATTATTTATTTAAAGACCATAAATTTGCAATAATGGTCAGATATTTTGTTAAATTAGGCAAGTCAGTGTTTAAATAAACTATGTTTTATCGATGAAAGATGTAAAGAACATATAGCTGAATAGTTAAAAAAATGGGGGTGGCTATTAATAATATTTTTTTGTCAGAGACGCATGTAAATAAGTGATTAGCAGAACAATAATGGAGGAAGAAATGGAAAGTACATTACAGAATTGATAAGAAACATAAAGGCAAATGTTGGTAAATGACAACTAAATCGCAAGAGATTAGATTATTAACCTGATTTTGTGATGTGAGATGATTTGATGTGATATCATTATGATATTTTACGTAGCTTTAACAATGTTTCAGTCATATCGCTACAATGTCTGCAGTGTGGCAGTTTATAGTGATGTCTAGCACTGGAGCATCATGCCGCAGACATGTAGCATGATGTCCCACCCAGTCACATTATCCTTACACTAGACTGACCAGTTCTAACACTAACCTTTTTAATGCTGAGCGCCAAGTGAGGCAGCTGTTAGTACTATTTTGTAAGCCTTTGGTATGACTCGCCCGGAGATCGAACCCACGACCTCCCGTCGACTGAGGCAGGCTCTCTAACCACATGACAAAATAAAAAATTGAAACTGTTACTGAAGAAAATCACAATTTGGCTGTTCAACTTTTTAACATGGATAAAATTGTCGTCCAACTCATCTACACTTGGCAGAGTTTCATTTATTGATAAATTATTTTTAGAATCGACATAAGGTGTTCTGCCAGCTGAAACAAATGCTTGGATTAGATAAATCAAATTTAGAAGATGGCACGATATGGTCGATGTTTAAATCATTGCCATCAATGTTTTGATAATATTTTGTGAAAACAATCCCTTTCTACGTTGATCAAACGAATATAATACTATTAGCGTAATAAATATTTATCGTTTTTCTGCCCATTAGCGTTTTGTGATTGATATTAATTAAAATGATGGGCTTTAATCTAAATGTTCGCTAAATAAAATTTAATTTGCCTGTCTGATAGCGTGACACACAAAACAATTTTGTTCTGTAAATGTTTCAAAAATGTAATATTCCTGTATTAAATACAATATTTATTATTAAGTTTCTAACTTCAATTTACACCGCCTTGAACAATGTTTTTTATTTACAGGAAAATAGAAAATACATTGGAACAATACAATACAATACAATACAATACAATACAATACAATACAATACAATACAATACAATACAATACAATACAATACAAATGAAAACAATACAATACATTACAATGCAATGCATTGCAATACAGTAAGGTACAACACAGCACAACACAACACAATGTAATACAATATAATGTTATACAATATAATAAAATGCAAATACAATACGATACAGTACAGTATATCAAAGTATAGTACATACAATACAAATACAATACGATACAGTACAGTAAAATACAATACGAAACGATACGATACAATACAGTAGAATACAATACATTAGAGTATAGTATACAGTACAGAACTACAGTACAGAACAGTGCAGTACGATACGGTACAGTACAGCACCATACAGTACAGTACACTGTGCTACAGTGCAATGCAGTACAGTACATTGCAGTGCAGTACAGAACAGTACAAATTCAGTACGAATTCAATACAAAATCAACACGATACAGTACAGTACAGTATAATAAAATACATTACAATATGATACAGTACAGTACACTACGCTACGCTAAAATACAATACAATACAATATAATACAATACAATACAATACAATACAATACAATACAATACAATACAATACAATACAATACAAATACAATACGATACAGTACAGTATAGTACAGTAAATACAATACAATACAAATGCAAATACTATACAGTACAGTACAGCACAATACAATATAATAGTGCAATACAATACGATAGAGTACAGTACAATACAATACAATACAGAACAATACAATACAATACAGCACAATACAATACCATACCATATTATATGCTCATTTTTCGAGGCTAACTTTACATTGTCATAATCGTTTAGTATTTACCGATTTTGCACACCTTCCTATTGTACTCCTCATGCTCAATTCAAAGAAACTATTTTCTAAAGTAAACAATTTTTATGAATGAATTAAAGCAGATATCATGGAACGCCACATATCAGCAAATGTTTCAAAGAATGACACATACAAACTGCTTTGCCACATTCTGCGCTTACCTTTTTGATACAATGTTTTAGATTTAGGCTAGATATAGACGTAACAGAGGGTCCTCACAATAATACGCAAGTACACACATAAGCCGTCTTTATTAGCTGGTAATAAAAAATTAAAAATATATTTAATTTTTCATCCTGAATTTCTTCAAAAATATACTTGTTCTCGAGGTTGATTACACATTTTGAAACTGTACTGTAATTTCGAGTATATTCCAAGTGCAGTTATACCCTCAAAATGAAATAAACATTAAACTCCACTTTTCGAAAGGCTTTATAATTTTCCCACATTATAATCTGAATCATTGAATGACAAAAAAGAAACACTGTAAATGGGCCAAATTTTAGTTCGATCTTTCTTTATTAGTTATAGTAGAACACACTTAACTGGAATACATGTAACATTAACGAGATTTATGGGGAAATAGCCACCTTGTTTAGACATAAAGTACAGATTAATTAAGGCGAGGCCAGTGGTTATTATATTTTAATTAAGGAAAGAGTTTGTTTAAACTTACCGCGCAGGGTTAGAGCTTTGTTCTGCTTAAAACTGATTTTTGGAAGTCGGAGCAGTCGGGGAAGGTTATTGATTGAAATAATGCAGTGTTTGATACTAGAAAGGCGAGAATTATTTTAAATCTGATAGTTCACACTGTGGACAGGGGCGTAGTTAAATCGAAAATAATGTGGATATGTTAGAAAGTTTGCCAGTAGCTTCTCGTGGGTCGGTGGTTCTTTCCGCGGATTTCCCGGTTTCTTTCTCCACCATTAATACTAGCCGCCATGTATAGCCTATCGTATGCTGAAAAATGGCTTTAAGCCCCAGAACAACATCAATCAAGTAAGCGTTTAAGAAATAAGCATATGAGAAAGCACAATACAATACCATACAATGCAATGCAATGTAATGTAATACAATACAATACAATACAATACAATACAATACAATACAATACAATACAATACAATACAATACAATACAATACAATACAATACAATACAATACAATGCAATGCAATGCAATGCAATGCAATGCAATGCAATGCAATGCAATGCCATGCCATGCCATGTCATGCCAAGCCATGCCATGCCATGCCATGCCATGCCATGCAATGCAATGCAATGCAATGCAATGCAATACAATACAATACAATACAATACAATACAATACAATACAATACAATACAATACAATACAATGCAATACAATACAATACAATACATTAGCATAGTACAAATACACTAATATACAACACTGTACATTTATCTAAGATAGAGGTTCGAATTTTGCCTATTTCGGCATGACACTGGTTTAGTAGTAGGGGAAAAGACGAGTTCTAGACCAGAGACTCCTAAAATGCCCCAAACAGGTATGCATCGACTGCCTCGTCAACATTCCAATATCACCATCTTGTTGATGACCAAAACATATAATACATCATCATCATCAACGTCATTATTCTTTGTGAACTATTTCATATGACAATATATTGGACGTACTAGTTTGGGACATTTTAGGAGTCTCTGATATATAACCAGCCTTTTCCACTACTACTGTTACTTTAAAATTTTCATACCTTATTTTTATTGTTCATACCTCATCCCCAATAATAAATATATCAATTGTTGATAGTAGAAATATGTCATCGTCGTAAATAGACGAAACTTTACTTTACCGTTCACACGGCGCCGACATTCGTACAAATCATTTACTTGCAACTTGTGAAGAGGATATTTTTGTCGATCTTATATACTTTTGACAGATCGAAATATATGGTAAATTTATTATAATTTTGTTGACTGATCGAATAGTGAAAGTTTCTAAACTCCGCCGATAACTTCTGGTTCAAATGTTCGAGGTAATCGAAATACCTACTGTCATCAGATCTGATGAGCGACATTTAAGCATAAAATAATTGTCTTTCACCATATTCCGCTAAACAACGAGGAGATAAACAACATCAGATCATATTTTCATCATCGCGTAACAAAAGATGTAATTCGGTATATCACGCCCAAGGCTTTTATAAATTATATAGATTTATCGGGCAAAATACGGGTTGTTTTATATTATTTCCGGATTGGAAAATATTGATGTGAGAAATATTGCAAACGAGCAATACGGTAATGTAACGAGAGATAAATTTATCGAATTATATCAGCGAGCAGCCACGAACAATACAATTTATTTTTATTTGACAAGGTAGTGCGTGATCCGGCCAAGACGTTTCTTTGTTGCATCAAACGTTTATATAGGAGAATTTCGTAAAGCGTATGGAAAATAATGGACGACCATCAAATAATCGAGTTACTATATAAATTTTTTAAAACTCGAATAGCTTTTGAGAAAAAAAGTGGAAGATTCTTGGCGTGGGCAAGTTTAAGCAGAGGAAGAAACTGCTAAACTTTTCAAACCAGTTACTGAAGCCGTACTTGGCAAAGAACCAGAAATATCAACATTATCCGCGAAAGAGCGTAAAGAAAAAGAAGATAAAGGTTTGTTAAATTTACCAGGAGAGAAAATCGAAAAAAGAAATTAACAAAATTGCATAGGAACTTGTGAGACACGCTGTTTATCCTTCTGCATGACAGGCCAAATTTAACAGATTAATAAGCAATCCTCTTGCGTTTTAACATGAGATAGCAAGAATGACGGTTAATCCAGTCGGGTTAAAGTG